GCGGGACTCGATCCTGGGACTCCAGGATCATGACCTGAGCCGAAGGCAGTCGCTTAACCAACTGAGCCACCCAGGCGCCCTAAAAATATTTTTAAAGAAGTGAATTAAAAATTTCTTTCTGCATAGTCAGAATCTTTCTGGTGTTTTTTTTCTCTTACAATAAGAAACAGCCCAAAAATGCAGAAAAAGCAGAAAGAAGACAATAGCAGTCACCTATAAATCCATCTTGCAAAGATAATCACTATCAACATTTTTTTGGGTATATCCTTCTAGTTTTTTTCTAGTACTGTTTGTTCTGTTCCATCTCTCAGTATTATAAGAGATACAATATTAAAAGTATGCAGAGGTTAATGTATAGATACATGAAGTCGTTATTTTTTGATAAATATGTCCTTTTTATTAAGAATAACCCAGGGGAGCCTGGGTGACTCAGTTGATTAAGCGTCCAGCTCTTAATTTCAGCTCAGGCCTTGATCTCAGGGTGGTGAATTCAGCGTGGAGCCTACTTAAAAAAAAAAAAAAGAATAACCCAAATGTTGTACTTTTATTTATTTATTCAATTATAAAAGATTTATTTATTTATTTGAGAGAGAGTGCAAGAGAGCAAGCATGAGCAGGAGGAGCAGAGGGAGAGGGAGAGAGAATCCCAAGCGGACTCAGCACTGAGTGCAGAGCCCAACGCAGGGCTGGATCCCACGACCCTGAGATTATGACCTGAGCTGAAACAAGGAGTCGGATGCTCTACCGACCATGCCACACAGGTGCCCCCCAAATATTTTACTTTAGATGGGAAGCATGTTAGAATCAATTTTTCAGTGTATTTGGTCAGATGGAAAGTATAATTGATAATTTGGACTGTAATTCTTATATTCAGTACTAGCAAGTTTTTTGTTCCTTAGTATATTATCTAGAAACTTATTTTAGCTATTTACCTGACTTTTTGCAAAATAGTTGTGTACTCTTCTATGAGATCACACAAAGTATTTATCACTGGATACAATTTAGCAATTTGATTTCTAAAATCACCTCTGAAAAGCATTAGTTAAGCTCATCCACCTGCAGGTGGCGATATGTTTTGCTCTACTAGTACATTCAAACCAGCAAAAATGGTTCATGTACTTAGATTTAATTTTTTTCCCTTTTGATATAATAATTTCAACATTTGTGGCTTCTCATCTTTAGGTTCCTAGGATGTTTCAGGGGAAAGGGAATTTTGGATTTACATTTTGAAATATCTGAAAAGTTTTCGAGGCCTTTTAACATGTTAGCTCTGTTATGTTCTTCCAGATTAGTAGTTTGCTTCTCCGTTCAGTGGACTGCACCAGCATCCCCGACTGGTTTTTGAACTGCTGCAGGAGCCTCTGTTGTACTGATGTCTCGCAGTCAACTCTCTTATTCCTGTGTCAGGGGACACTCACCATGTTGGACTGGCAGAATGGGAGTATGGGCCTAAGTGGGGAGGCCCTGCTCTTGAATATTGTGCATGTCTTGTTCACCTTCAGTTCACAGTGAGTTTTCATGCTACTGCCTCCCATTCTGTTTTGCTTGTCAGGCATTTCAAAAATGGCAACTGAACTAGTATACTTAGTAATTCCATGAAAAGTGCTCAGGATAATCCTGAATTAAAAGGAAGATAACAGGAACTCCTGGGTGGCTCAGTCAGTTAAGCGTCTGCCTTCAGCACAGGTCATGATCTCAGGGTACTGGGATCGAGTCCCACACTGGGCTCCTTGCTCAGCGGGGAGCCTGCTTCTCCCTTGGCCTGCCGTTCCCCTGCTTGTGCACGCACTCTCTCCCTCTGTCAAATAAATAAATAAAATCTTAAAAAAAGAAAAAGGGAAGATAACATATAGGCAATGAAATGGGTGTGAAAATAGACCAAGAGAAGATGAAATGATGAGTGGAGGGAGTTACAGATATTATTGGTGCAGGTTAACCTGTACTGAACATTTTTAATGTTAATGTTAACATTTAGTCTCTAATGCTGCATTTTAGTTTATAAACAATGTCAACATAGGTAATTCAGTATGAGCCTCACATGTCTGATAGATAGGATAGGAAATCTAATGTGTTGAGTAGGTAAAGTGAAGTTAGAAAAGTAAATGCTAGGGCACCTGGGTGGCTCAGTTGGTTAAGCGACTGCCTTCGGCTCAGGTCATGATCCTGGAGTCCCGGGATCGAGTCCCACATCAGGCTCCCTGCTCAGCAGGGCGTCTGCTTCTCCCTCTGACCCTCCTCCCTCTCATGCTCTCTGTCTCTCATTGTCTCTCTCGCAAATAAATAAAATCTTAAAAAAAAAAAATTTATAAAAAAAAAAAAAAAAAAAGTAAAAGCTAAAACTTAAGAGTATATTGCTAATAAGCACCTGAGCCAGAATTGTAACCAGCTCTTTAGACTTCATTGGATTGTGTTTTGTGGTTTATTTTGGTGTTTTTTTCATAATGCCTGAAAGTGATTGTGTGCTTAAAATGTCAAACCATAGTTACAACTTGATAGTAATGAATATGTAGGTAAAGGAAGAAAAGTACTGTGTTCTAAAATAATTTTTACATGTTTTTCAGCTTATGTATATGTGAAAATTGTGCATATTTTAAAGGAATGTAAAAATTATTATTATTTCTTTAGAGAAGGATTGGCGGGGAGGGGCAAAGGGAAAGGGAGAGAGAGAGTCTTAAGCAGGCTTCACGCCCAGTGCAGAGCCCGATGTGGAGCTTGATCTCATGATCCTGAGATATGACCTGAGCCAAAATCAAGAGTCAGTCACTTAACCAACTGAGCCACCCAGGCACCCCTCTCAGTATGTTTTTTTTTTTTCCCCAAAGATTTTATTTATTTATTTGACAGAAACACAGGGAGAGAAGGAATACAAGCAGGGAGAGTGGGAGAGGGAGAAGCAGGCTTCCTGCCGAGCAGGGAGCCCGATGAGGGGCTTGATCCCAGGGCTCTGGGATCATGACTTGAGCCGAAGGCAGACGCTTAACGACTGAGCCACCCAGGTGCTCCCCCTCTCAGTATGTTTTGAAACACCTGTGAAACCATTATCAAAATCAAAATAATAAACATTTCCATCACTCCCAAAAGTTTTCTTGTGTCCCTTTTTGGATTATTTCTATAAGATGAAAAGATTCATTTATAAATTTGAGCTCTGTTTTGGCCTTGTTTGTAATTTTTTGTCATTGTAAATTTAATAATTATTGAATTTTCTGATCATTCTTTGTCTTTTATATTTTTAAAATCTAGATGATTATAAAATGAAATTTCTGTTACTAGTCAGTTTATAATAACATGGTTCATTTCTCTTCAGGATCAAGGAATCGACTCTGGAATTGTTTCTGTCTAGAATTTTGGCGTCCTGGACTAATTCAGCCATACATGTCCTTGAATCAAGTTCCCCAAGCCTAAAGGACAGTCTGAATGGAAATTCAAGTGTAGTTGGGAGACTTTTAGAATATGTCTATACCCACTGGGAACATCCACTGGATGCTTTGAGACACCAAACCAAAATTATATTCAGAAATATTCTCCAAATGCACCAGCTCACTAAAGAAAAGTCAGACTCTGAAACGTCAGGTTTGGCTGCGGATCGTTTCATCTGTGATCTGACTGAAAGTCTTCTGCAATTGGAATGGCATGTGAAAGGGAAATACGCATGCCTTGGTTGTTTAGTAGATTACGTAGGAATTGGACATATTTTGGCACTAGCTAAAACTATTCCATCACAAATCTTAGAGGTGATGGGAGACCAGTCCTTGGTACCTTATGCAAGTGACCTCTTGGAAACCATGTTCAGAAATCACAAGAGTCATTTGAAGTCCCAGGCTGTCGACAGTACTTGGATTGATGAGTGGCATGAGACTTGGGTTTCTCCTCTCCTTTTTATACTGTGTGAAGGAAATCTGGATCAGAAATCTTACGTGATTGATTATTACTTGCCAAAATTATTGAACTGCAGCCCTGAAAGCTTAAGCTACATGGTAAAGATTCTTCAAACTTCTGCTGATGCTAAAACTGGTAAGAAAAGGAATCGTTCTTTCAGTAATTTCTGGTTAAGATGTTTAAGGGTAGGTAGCTAGGCAGATGTGGACCATATTCAAATTTAAATATTACCACTTCTGTAAATAGTAAAAGAGGGTATTGACGATAGAGATTTCAGATTGAGACTAATGTTCCTCTCCAGAGTGGAGTGGTTTTTTTTGGCTGAAGTCATTTCTACAGGCTAAGGATTGATTCCAGTTATTATAAGGTTCCCTTTCTTACTCGTTTTAATTCATTTTACCAAGTTCTTATTTGTTAGGTTGTTAGATTGGAACGAAAGTTTGAGTGTTTTATATAAGTTCTTATTCTAGTGATTGAGACAGTAATTAAACATTGTTTTCGGCAAGGATCAGGACAGGTAAACTGGCAGCAGCAAGTTTTTGTCTCTAGGGAAGAGACAAAAAAATGTAGATGTGTGACCTCAAGAAACAACTGTCTGTAGTCATTTAGAATAGGGGGTAAACATTTCACTGAAACTCAGTAACCCTGAAGGAATCACTGCATTAAAGCATAGTTCAGTAATTAATATATAAATGATGACCATGACTTCTCATGTGAATCTTAAAATTACTGTATTCTGCTTAACAAAGCAGAAATATGGTACTCTACATCATAGTTTAAGAATATTTACAACAAGGGATGCCTGGGTGGGTCATTTGGCTAAACATTCAACTTTTTTTTTTTCTTTTTTTAAATTTTAAGTATTTATTCGAGAGTGCTAGAGAGAAAGAGAGAGAGAGAACAAGTAGGGGGAGGGGGAGAGGGAGAGGGAGAAGCAGGCTCTCTGCTGAGCAGGGAGCCCGATGTGGGGCTCAATCCCAGGACGCTGGGATCGTGACCTGAGCTGAAGGCAGATGCTTAACCGACTGAGCCACCCAGGTGCCCCAGCGTTCAGCTCTTGATTTCAGCTCAGTCATGATCTCAGGGTCATGAGATCAAGCCCTGCATTGGGCACTGTGCTGAGCATGGAGCCTGCTTAAGATTCTATTTGTCTCCCTCTGCCCCCCCCTCAGCCTACCCCCCCCCCAGGGTGCACAGGCACTCTCTCTAAAAAAAAAAGAGTATTTACAACTAAAAATAATTGAAAACTTTCAAAAAGTAACCATGAGATAGCTGGAAAAATCTGATTCCTATACACAAAAATAAGCCATTATTTGTAGTTGGGTTTTTTTTTCATTATTTGTAGTCTTTAACAACAATTGTTCTTGCCTTTTTGAGAAACCATCTAAAGTTCAAGATTTATGAATCTGTTCTGAAGTAAAGCAGTCTCTCTTTTTTTTTATCAGTGTTCCCTTTGAGCCAGGGTTCCTTATCCTGTTAGTAGTGACTGATGTCCTAGCCTCCAAAAGCGTCAGGCTCCTTGTAGTCCTCCTTTCATCTTTTTTACTAGGGAGAAACAGTAACTCCAAAATATGTAGAGAGGTTTAGTGTTTGTTTTTAGAGAAATAATGATATTTAGCCACTAAAGTGTTTTCCCTAATTTTGGCTGAAAGTCATTTTAGTTATTCTTACTGTTTTAAATATTTCTCCACCTGATTTTTTTCCCCTGAATCACTTCCTGGTTCATTTCTAAATGTCAAGGAAAAGGTAAAAACAGCAAAAAATAATGATTTCTTTAAGTTAACATAAGGGGATTATGCTTACTTGAAATGATTGACACAAGAACTGTCAAATCCTTTTCAATAATGATTATTTTATCCTAGGGACTTTAATTCATGTTAGAATTTAAACTGTGATTTTTATTTCTTGAAATACAATGTTAATTGCAAAATGAAAATTGTGACAGTTGTTGCATAGCACAGTAGTTATCTGTGTTATTTTGTGCTTTTGAGACAAGAACAATCTTTTCCATCCTTAGGGTCTCACAATAGTAGAGGGGCTCTGGGAGCTTTGATGGCATGTCTGCGAACAGCTAGAGCTCATGGACATCTTCAGTCTGCAACTGGTGCCTGGAGGAACCTTGTGTCCAGTGCAAGAATAAAACAAGGCTTAATTCATCAGCACTGCCAAGTAAGTAAACAAAATATCTGGGAATTTCATACATACAGTAGATCCCTGATTTATTTATCCAGTTAGCAGTCCAATATAGAGGCCCCTGTGTCGAGCCCAGCACTGTTTTAAGGGATCCGTAAGGAGGAAGAATTGAAAGTGAAAAGTGTAGGGGCGCCTGGGTGGCTCAGGTCATGATCCCAGGGTCCTGGGATTGAGCCCTGCGTTGGGAGGGGGTGGGGCGGGTCCTGCTCAGTGGGGAGCCTGCATCTCCCTCTCTCTGCCACTCCCCCTGCTTGTGCTTTCTCTCTCATTCTCTCTCCCTCTCAAATAAATAAATAAAATCTTAAAAAAAAAAAAGAAGTGAAAAGTGTAGACTTTTCGGGCTATTTAAATTTTAGTTGAAGGAAGAAGAAAACCTGTATAAAACAACTGGAAACTCTTAGAAGACAATACAGATATAAGTGCCCTTTATGCATAAGGACTTGGGGGTCTCAGAACAGAGTAGGTAGTGTTGATTAGAAACACGTTAAATGTGATTAAAGGAGAGGAAGCATTGGAGCAGCATATAAAATAGGAGAACACTAGAACTGATAAATGAGTTCAGTAAAGTCACAGGGTAGAAAATCAATGTACAGAAATCTGTTGCATTCATATACACTAATAATGAAGCAGCAGAAAGTGAAATTAAGAAAGCAATCCTATTTACAGTTGCATCAAAACCAATAAAATATCTAGGAATAAATTTAACCAAAGAGGTGAAAGACCTGTACTCTGAAAGCTATAAAACATTGATGAAAGGAATTCAAGACAAATGCAAAGAAACAGAAAGACATTTCATGCTCATGGGTTGGAAGAACAAATATTGTTAAAATGTCTATACTACCCAAAGCAATCTACACATTTAGTGCAGTCCCTATCAAAATACCAATGGCTTTTCTCATAGAACTAGAACAAACAATCCTAAAATTTGTATGGGGCCCACAAAAGACCTCAAATAGCCAAAGCAATCTTTTTTTTTTTTTTTTTTTAAGATTTTATTTATTTGAGAGAGAAAGCAAGAGACAGAACACACAAGCATGAGCAGGGGGTGGGGGGACGGTGCAGAGGGAGAAGCAGACTCGAGCCCGATGTGGGGTTTGATTCCAGGACTCTGGGATCATGACCTGAGCCAAAGGCAGATCCTTAACCAACTGAGCCAGCCAGGTGCCCCTAGCCAAAGCCATCTTGAAAAAGAAAAATAAAACTGGAGGTATCACAATTTTACATTTCAAGTTATATTACAGAGTGGTAGTAATTAAAATAGTATGGTGCTGGCATGAAAATAGACACAGAGATCAGTGGAATAGAACAGAAAACCCAGAAATAAACCCACAATTATATGGTCAATTAATTTTTGACAAAGGAGAGATGAATATACAATAGGAAAAAGACAGTGTCTTCAACAGTGGTGCTGGGAAAACTGGACAGCCACATGCAAAAGAATGAAACTGGACCACTTTCTTTCACCATACACAAAAATAAACTCAAAATGGATTAAAGACCTAAATGTGAGACCTAAAACCATAAAAATCCTTGAAGAGAGCACAGGCAGTAATCTCTCTGACATTGGCCATAGCAAAATTTTTCTAGATATGTCTCTTGAGGCAAGAGAAGCAAAAGCAAAAATAAACTATTGGGACTTCATCAAAATAAAAAGCTTCTGCACAGCAAAGGAAACAATCATGAAAACTAAAAGGCAACCTACTGAATGGGAGAAGATATTTGCAAATGACATAATCCAATAAAGGGTTAGTATCCAAAATAAATAAAGAACTGATAAGGGGCGCCTGGGTGGCTCAGTTGCTAAGCTTCTGCCTTCGGCTCAGGTTATGATCCCAGGGTCCTGGGATCGAGCCCCGCATCAGGCTCCCTGCTCCGCAGGAAGCCTGCTTCTCCCTCTCCCATTCCCCCTGCTTGTGTTCCCTCTCTTGCTGTGTCTCTCTTTGTCAAATAAATAAATAAAATCTTTAAAAAAAAAAAAAAGAACTGATACAACTTAATACCCAAAGAACAAATAATCCAATTAAAAAATGGGCAGAAGATATGAACAGACATTTCTCTAAGGAACACATCTAGATGGCCAACGGACACATGAAAAGATGCTCAACATCACTCATCAGTAGGGAAATGTAAATCAAAACTACAATGAGATAACACCTCATACCTGTCAGAATGGCCAAAATCAAAACCATAAGAAACAACAAGTGTTGGCAAGGAGGTGGAGAAAAAGGAGCCCTTGTGAGCTATTAGTGGGAATGTAAACTACTGCAGCCACTGTGGAAAACAGTATGGAGGTTCCTCAGAAAATTAAAAATAGAACTATCCTATGATCCAGTAATTACACTACTGGGTTTTTACCCAAAAAATCTAAAAACACTAATTCAAAGGGATACATGCAACATTATTTACAATAGCTAACCTATGGAAGCAGCTGTAGTTTCCATGGATAGATGAATGGATAAAGAAGAGGACGGGGACACACACACACACACACACACACAATGAAATATTACTCAGCCATCAAAAAGAATGAAATCTTGCCATTTGCAACAACATAGATAGAGCTAGAGAGTATAATGCTAAGCACAATAAGTCAATCAGAGAAAGACAAATACCATGTGATCTCACTCATATGTGGAATTTAAGAAACAAGGAAAGAAAAAAAAGACAACTATAGAGAACAAAAAGATGGTTACCAGAGGGGAGTTGGTTGGAGGGATGGAGGAAATAGGGGATAGGAATTAAAGAGTACACTTATTATGATGAAGAAAAAAATAAATAAAATGATTTAAAAAAAAAAACACAAAAAAATACCAAAATGGGAGAATACAAAACAAGGTCTGGAGGATGATTTAGGATGTTGTTTGGCAGGAGTAGAGTGTTTGGTCTATTTTATGGAGGCCTCCAATGCTAGGCTGAAGACTTCAGATTTCATTCAATTGGTAAGCGGGAACCAGAGCCATTCTGCCTCCAGCAAGGATGTAGAATTAATGGCAACAGAGATGAGTTTCCAGTGTGAGAGCAAAAAGAAACCAGGAGCCTGGTTAGATGTGCATGACAGTAATCTAAGAGTGACTGATGAGGGGGGCGCCTGGGTGGCTCAGTCGTTAAGCGTCTGCCTTCGGCTCAGGTCATGATCCCAGGGTGCTGGGATCGAGCCCCGCATC